TATCTAATAATTAGTGGTAGGAAAAATATATATTGTTGGATATTATAAAATATTTTTGAATATTTCAAAAGAAATTATTATAAATTAATAATATTAATTATTATTTAAGTCTATTTATTATTTTGCAACGCATAATTTAAACATCATTATTATTTAAAAAAAACATTTTTAATTGTGATTAAGGTGACTTTATGGCCCAGAATTATGAGATTGGCCTATAAAAGGCAGTGCTTGCCACATGTTCTGTGAATAGCTTTTGTGCTTTTAGCCTTTTTCTACTCTTTTATCACATTATTTCTTTGTGCATATACCTGAGGTTATTTTATGAATTTCTGTTGTTCTGTGTCTCTACTTTCAGTAGCAGAATCTGTTTAATTTTGGGGAGCTGTTGCTAATCAACTTAGTGTAACGGCATAGCTCTTAAGGACAATGTTCTCGGACACGACTCAGACTATAGTTTTACTTGCTAGTGACAACATATATAAATATTAATTAAATAATAGGTTATGAAATATTAATAAATCTAATCAAATATGAATCAGAATTTATACCTATTTAACTATCAAATATGCACTTATCTGAAGCCCACTCGTGCAAACCAGGAAGAAAGAGGGAAACGAAGAAGAATTCAAGAAGACTGGGAAACTGGGCTCACCTTTTGGGTCGAAGAAACACATAAACCCAAAAAATAATCGAATGGATCTGATGGTGAGATGCATGGGTCAAATTATTTCCAAATCCAAGCTCCTCATTCGCAAACGGATCCTCTCCACCTTTACCTGGTTTTTGGTTCCTTCCCTCCATCTTCACGAATAAGATTGAATAGGTAGATGTCAGGTTCTCGCCTGTTGATTTTCCAGAGGCAACGATAGTGGAGATGAGGAGGAAGAAGGAAGTGGAAGTGGGGGAGGAGCTGTAATTACATGTGGAGGCCAACGTGGCATTCTATCGACACATTCAACAGTCAAAAATTTTAACTTAATGGTCAACATGGTCAAACCTAATAGTGGGGTGATATTGTACTTAAAAAAAATGTTGGGATGAAATTACTTGAGATAATACCTTAGGATATAGGATCAAGCTGACTGAAAACTTTGAAGATAAATTTATATTTTAATTCTTAGTTCCATCCACTTAACCATTAATTAATCGTTAAATCATATATGTTGAGCTCAAATACCTTTCTTCAGATAAAAAAAAGTCTTAAAGTCAATTCAAATTATTAAAAAAAATATTAATGCATGTATCTTTTACTTTTTATTTATATGTTAAATATGTTAATTATGTCAATGTATTTATTTTGAATTTTTAAATAAATTAAATACATACATTGGATAAAATAATATTCAAACACACAGTAGGAAACTTATGAAATAAGAATTAACTTTTAATATAATAAATTAATCAACACACAGTTAGGAAACTTATGAAATAAGAATTTAAATTTTAATATAATAAATTAATCAATATAATTTCTGTTTATTTTTCTTTAAATTTCATTAATTTTAACACAAAATTTTTAAACTATTTATTTAAATACTAGCATACTTAATTATTTATTTATTTTTAAATTGAGGGATAGAGTAGACAAGTAAATTATAAGGTCAAATCAGTAATTTTAAAATTTTTAACAGAATATCCTTACCGTACTAAAGATTGAATTAAAGTATAAGCTTGGGGAAAAAAATCAGGCTTCAAAGGATGAGCGTGGACATCTTCAGCAACCTTAATGATGCAGTCCAGTTAGGCTTGTGGAGGGGGCACAACCTCATGCAGCTTCTCATGTTCGAAGGCCCACTTTGCAAGGCCTCTATTGCCCATGACAATGACATGAACCTTCGCCTTCGTGGGCTGAATCAAGAACGTTGTGCTTTGTGAATATCCTGAAGCTGATGGACTACAAAGACGTTGAAGAACTTGGCAGTAGATGAATGGACTTCAACTTCAGTCTCCACTTTACCAGTAAGAGCCATCTCTCTATGATTGCCGAGTTGAAGATCGCAGCGGAAGGAAAAATGCTTAGCTTGTTCTGTTGGCATTAAATAGCATAATGTTTCTGGAACTAGTTTTAGTACTTATCATATATATGAGTATTAAAAGTTTATTAGCATTGTTCAAATCTAATTTTCATGATTCAAATTTACAGTTTTTTAACTGATGTTTCTGTAAACAAAAAATTATTTTAAAAAAAAACTAACAGTTAAAAGACTGTCGTTATTTTGGATTTTGTATCCAAAAAAGTAGATTTTATTTATAAACATTAATTGAAAAACTATAATTTTAAACTGTTCAAATTAGATCTCACGGTCCACAAGCAATGAGTTCTCAGTGTTTATTTGTATGATGAGCACTAAAACTGATTTTGAATGTTTATATGCTCTACTTATCACATCTCTGTCCTCATTAATTAAGTAATTACTGACAATGTTGTGTGGTTATCAATCCCACCTCACATTTTTTGCGCTGACTGTACATTATTGGGAATGACTTTCAATAAAACCAGTTTTAGGTAAAAGAATAAAAAAGAGAGGAAAAACATAGAGCCTATTTGACAATATGTTCTGAGAATAGTTTTCTATTTTTTAAATTAAAAAAATTTATTTAGTAAAATGTTTTAAAAAAAATATTTTGAAGAACAAAAAATAAAATATTATTTTAAAGAATAGAAAAATTAAAACATCTTTTAGGTATTTTAGAATTATTATTTTGGAGAACTTAAAAAATAAAAAATACCTATTTTTATTATTTGTTAGAATAATAAAATAAAAACAGTTTTAAACAAGCCTATAATTTTCAATCCTTATAATATCATTTAATTTTGTTTCTATAAAGACTTAAAAGTAAAAAATCACCCAATCTTTTTGAAACTATAAAGATTAAAAATACTAAAAAAATTATGAAAAAAAAAATAAAACAAGACAAAATTATAAGAATAAAAAAATTGTATTTTTCAAGAGTAAACGATGAAATTATTGAGACAAAGCAGCAAAGCCCATAAAGGAGGGTAAAGAGGTTGCGGCAATGACAAACAAACACAACATCTTGAAGCATTTTTCATATATTTTATAATTATAAATAAAAATTCTAATTAGAATAAAATAAGCATATCAATTTTTTAGGAATAATAAGATATGCTGGAATTTTTCAATAAAACTATTTTTTTTTACCTGAACTACTATTTGATATTCAGTACTATCATATGTTATACTTGAGCATCATCGAATTTAATTGGATATGCAGCTCTTCTAATATGATTCTTTTTATTAACATGATTTGAGCTTTCAGCCTCACTTAAAAGAAATTGAGTCACTTCTGGTCAACCTAGCTGCACATCCGTTTCTTTTTATCTTTTTTCATCAATTTTTGACTGCTACGTAGCTCCCATTAGTATATGCTTGGTGTCGCTTTCTTATAAAGTATTTGATAATTAAAATTACCAAACGACAAATAAGTGTAAAATTATCATTTTTCAATCCTGTGAAATTATTTCTGGCCTTATAGAATTAAAATTTTTCAATAAGTCCCCATAAAACATAATTTAAATATCCAAACTCGAGCCAATAGATAAATGTCGCGTGGCCTAGCTAGCTTGATATACCAGAGTTTTTTTTTTTTTTTTTTAGCCTCGTCCAAGGCTTTCAAAATATATTCTTCGATCAATCGTAGTTGAGATTCATGATAATCATATTGGCTGATTTGAGTCTTACATTATGGGGTCGTATTTTATAGAGCGTGCTAAACTGGCTTTAAGGATGAAACTGAAATTAAAAATTATGGGGACGAAGATACGACTTTCCCGTATGCATGCTGAAATTATTGGAACTGAAATTAAAAACTGGCTGATTTGAGACTATGCTTTTAATTTCACGCCTTTCTCCACATGAAAAGCCAAAAGGGATGCAAACACATTGAATTGATCATTAATTAGCTACATGTGTATTGTTGTTTGGTTGTTTTTTAAAGAATAGCATCTGGATGTAGAAGGACATGCAGCTGATGAAATAAGTGTACACCAGCTGAGAGCTCACTGAAAAAGTTTTAGTTTAATAAACACTAACAAAATTTTAGCAGCGGCAAGGATTAAGTTAACAATTTTGCAAATTAAACAGTAGGTTTTAATTATAAAGCGCTAATTAAAAATTATAAAGACAATAAATATAACTGTCCCATAACGGAACCAACAATTCATAATTAAGCACAATAATAATAAAAGATCACAAACTTCAATGCATGCATTATTATTCTCGGCACAGCGATTATTAACATTATAGGTTCACCCACTTAGTTACACCATAAAACCTTAATAATAACCAGAAGCCAAATCCATTGTATATCTGATGAATGATGATCCTACCCACCATGTGATTATTAATGTTGTTGGACATTGCTGTTTGACGGTTTGTTAAGAATAACATATATATATATATATATATATATATAGAAGGGCAGATTAAAATGCACAATAATGAAATAAACCAATTATCTGGTAAAGTAAGGTGTCGCTAATAATGATAGGGTTTTTTTTTTTTTTAACATGAGTATCTTACAAGGTCATATTTAAGTTTTATCGTCCGGCCAATTGGAGTTTGGAGATAACATTGATTTGAGTAACCCTTTATTCTTTTCCTTAACATGTCCCGGAAGGAGATCCTCTCCTCATCCCTTCTCCCCATCTTCACTTTAATGAGATACGTATCGGGTTTTTAATTTTATTTATTTCTGCACGTAGAAAGGGATAGTTGAATTCATCATTAGCTACATTATACATTGTTGTTTAATTTGTTAAGAATATAGCAGATCTGCAGATGGATACAGAGGACAACTGATGAAATAAGTGTACACATGAGAGCTCACTAATAAATGTTTAATCTAAGAAACACTAACAAATTTTAGCAGCAAGGATTAAATTAAAAATTTTCGAATTACACAGTTGGTTTTAAATATAAATCACTAATTAAAAATTGAATAAAAATTAAAGACAATAATTATAACTGTCCCAATACAGAACCAACATTTCATAACTAAGCACACAATAATAAAACATCACACACTTGAATACGTGCATTTTGATTCTCAGCACAACCATTATTATAGGTTCACACACTTAGTTAACATAAAACCCTGATAATAACCAGAAGCCAAATCCATATTTTTGTTGTTGTTGATGTTTTAGGGCTTTGCATTCATGAGATGAGCATCAACATCCTTAGTAACCTTAGTGGCGAAGTCCAAGTAAGCTTGGGGCGGAGGGACTTCCTCACGGAGCTTCTCGTATTCATAAGTCCATTTTGCAAGGGCACCGTTGCCCTTGTCAGTCACTTGAAGCTTCGCCTTTAAGCTTTTATACTTGTCTCCAACATCTCCATCAAACAAGTTGAATGCTAGTGACTTGTTCTCATGATCAATCTCTTCAAAGTGCTCCTTACACTTCTCTACCTTACCTCCTGTGTAGATCAACATCAGCAAGTAAGCTTATCTCATGATAATGAATTAAATTAGACAAATAGGGCTGTACTAAAAAGCTGAAACTGCGTGATGAGTAGGTAGGGGGAATTTTGGTGAAAAACTTACCACAGTGTAAGTCCAGTGCTTAATAGAAGCAGAGCCAACGCCGTGCCAGTCTCCTTGATGCACCTTGGTTTCATGCACAACATCACTAATGTTCTTGACATGGTGAAGTTGAGATGCCAAGACGCCGAAGAACTCGGCTGCAGGTGAATTCACCTCGACTTCACCCTCCAATTTTCCAGCCAGCTGAGCCATTTCTCTATGATTTGGGCTCCGGAAACAAGGAGAACGATATATGGATGTGGTAGGCAGGAGATCAGATGCTTGCTTCTTGGGTTTATTAAACAGACCAGAGTTTCTCTACTTTAGCTTATATAAATTTCTAGTAATTCCATGTTTCGTTTCTGCCCGCAAAAAAAAAAAAAAAGCTTATATAAATTTCATTTTCTCCTTCTTTGTTTTTTCTTTCACGATTTTCTTATGTCAACTTGATTATAATTTAGCCCCTGTGCTTTAAGAACTTTATAACTAATTTTACTTCATATATGTGTGTGTGTGTGTGTGTGTGTTATCCGCAATGGAGTTAAGCTTTTGTTGAGGTGTGGCTAGTGTCTTTGAGACGTGAATGTGTGTGTGTGTGTGTATTATCCGCAATGGAGTTAAGCTTTTGTTGAGGTGTGGCTAGTGTCTTTGAGACGTGAATGCCACATGTAGATTTAGTGTTACGAGTCCTGACTCTTGTATGGAGAAGACTCACAAGGAAAAAAAAAAAAGATTTATAAATTAAAGGATCTTTTTTAAATTTTAATCTTTTTAAGACTGATTCTCTCTTTAATACAATAAACATGGATGTAAAATTTTTTTAATAAAATGTCTGTCTGCTTTCACTCCAAAAATTGAAGTCATATAATTAAGCGCTCTTTCAATTCAGTGTACAAATTAAATAATGGCTTTGACATGTACGTGATCATTAATTATTGCCACATGATGGTAAGGACGATAGGTATAACTCAGATAAGATTGATGGGACACACACACACCCACACGCAGAGATAATCTGCTCTGTGTATTCATTGAGAGACCAGAGTTGAGCTATCTGTATAGATCAGCGTCAAGACTTCACTCTTCTACATGAATTGATTTTTGTAATTGTTCAAACAAGTTTTTATTTTTGTTAATAAATTTTATTTTTCTGTATCAGAAATTAATTAAGTATCTTAATTTATTACGTAATTTTTTTCAATTAACCCACGATTGCAAGGGTTAAAGCTTGAACATTCGTAAAAGAAAGAAACAGTTGATAAAACTGACTGGGGATTCGGTAACCTGAAAGATTTTGATTGATCAGGCTTTGGATTTTCCGAGATTCTGTCGGTGAACTGTGATCCACGTCCTCTGTACATGGGATGGTGGTCCAAAATGAATTTCAAAACAAGCGTAAAAAACACATGTCGTAATTGATATCACTTGAGAAAAAATTACGTAAAAGTCCCATAAAACAGATTTATTTACATATAAATCTCATAAAATTTAAAAAACTACAACCAATTATTTTGAGATTTAAATGTAATTTAAAATTAAGATGTAAATATAATATTTTTCTTGCTTATTAGATTTAACCATTAAATATATGAAATTACAATTGTAAAATATTGAAGTACTAGTAATACATGATTAATTTAATTATTAGATATATGAAATTATAGTTGTAAAATATTAAAGTTATAATTATAAATTACTAATGAACAGTTATATATAATTAATATTAAACTTCTAACACATGATCAGTTTAACTATTATTTATATAAAATTATAGTTGTAAAAAATTAAAGTGATTGCCAATAAAATAATTATAAATTACTTAATTGATGAAATGAATTTTTAATAGAGTTATTATTATTTTTGTATCTTAATTTTAAATTACACTTAAGTTTCAGGGGATCTGGTTATAATTTTTAGATTTTATAATATTTATTTATAAATAAATATGTTTCATGAGATATGTACCTAATTTTCCCATCATTTTATTAAACTTTCAAATAATAAATATCTCAACTAAATCCGCAGTTATTTGGTGGACCTATCATTCTCCTTTATTTGCTGGGAGAGCAACCTCTCATTTTGCTTTACTCTTTTTTTCTCTCGTCACTTTTGGATAATATTTTAAAAATTTACTATTATAATTTTAAATAAAACCAGAACCATTATAATTTTTATCCAAAGAAAATTAAGCAAAAATAAGGGAAAAAAGAGTGAGAGCAAGGAAAGCAAAGCCGGGAGGTTCCTCTCCCTCTGCTGGCACTATCAATTACACGAGTCAGATGTTAGGTGTAGAAATGTACTTGAATATGATTAAAAAAAATTAATATTACATTTATAAAATACATTTTAAAATGTATATTTAGCCTGTTGGCAAAATATATATATATATATATATTTAGTTTCATTTATAAATTATAGCACAACTTTTTAAATAATATTTAAAAATATTTTTAAAATTATTTTTTATGAGAGAAAAAATAATATGATATTATTTTTTAAGTTCGTTATGTATAAATATATTTAAAATTTTACACATTCTTATTTTTTTTATTTTTTTCACATTAATATTTCTTTTACTAGATTGGGGAGGGGCTTCGTTTCATTGCTGTCGAGGGAACATTGTAAATTTGGGCCTTCACATTGAATTTGATGATTTACATTTCATAATTTTAAAAAATACAAATTAATGTATTGATAGAATTTCCATTGTTCTGGATTGGAGTAACCAGCGTTTAGTTTTGCAACAAAGGTCTATTGAGGAGGAAGTAGAGTTGTGTGAAAATTTGTACAATTTACTTCAACTCAAACAAGTTCAATTTGGTCTGGTTTAGTAAAAAAATTAAAGATAAAAAAGACAAGATTAGCCTTTTGGGTTGCACCAAACAAAAGACCAAGCTTTTAGATTACTTAATCTGGTTCAATACTACAAAATTATTTTAATATAATTTTAATTATTTTTAAAATATTTAAATAGTTTGAAATTTAAACTTAGCGTTTCCTTCATCCACATTTCACTCTTCAATTTAATATAATTTTAATTTAGTTTTCTGTTAAATTATTATTATAATGTATATTAAACATATTGTTGAAATTTGTTGAATGTTGTTGCTATTATTGTCGAAGTTATAAATTTAAATTATTTAAATTGTAATAGAAATATTTGTTGTTGTTGTTGTTGTTGTTTTTGTTAGAAATTGTTGTGAACTTTTTATGATTATAAATATTTTTATCATTTTAATTGAGTTTATTAGAACAAAATGAATTGTTACATCTAATATAGGGAAAACAGAAAAAAAAACGTTAAATAAGAACTAAATTATCAGGATCAATCTCTTAATCTTATAGGCCAAATTTAATCTTATTACCAGACCAGACTATAGATTAACTAATTTAATCTTTCTATAAAAGAGATCAAAATTTGAATTACGTTAAAATTCAACCTTGTCTAATTTTTTGTGTAATCTCAGGAGGAAGGCTCAAAGTTGGGGCAGCCATGTGACTGTAGAAGCTTTTTTTTTTTTTTTTGCACACATTTAATTACAAAATAGTTACAGCAATAGAGGCTTAAATTAGAAGGCCCATATAGAAACAAATTCACTAATGGCCTAACTGCGCGTGTCCTTTGCTGGTTCATTTTATTGAAAAGGATAATGAAACGCGACAAAACTAAAACTTCAGATATATATCTATTCCTTTCGTTTAATATTATAAAATATTTTTTAAGTATAATATTAAAGATTATAAAGTATTTTAAGTCTTTTAATATGTAATTAATAAATTTTTTAAACATGCCCTTGATTAATGGGTCTAATTAATAATATTATTTTAATTGAAATCTCTTATCAAATAAGAGCAAAATATAATAAGAGCGTGGAAGTTTAAAGATCATTAACTAATTCATTAAAAAGTATAATTTTATTAAAAATATTCTATAAGATTTAAAAGAAAAAAACTATATTTGTTAGCTTCAAGAGAGCATCTTATCCTATGCGAGGCTTATCCTTTTGACCTTTTGAGGCTCAAATTTTGAAATGATACATTAAGTGGGCGCTGTACCCAATTAATAATGACGTCTGTTAAATCTAACGAGTAAACAGAATTGGATTTTTTGGGACCAAATTGAAAGCAAATACTTGAATTTGGACTCTGACAAATACTAAACTAATTAATAATAATACGTATCGCGTGTGTGTGTCACGAGACGTCAATTAGTTCATGAACCTTGTAATCAATCCTCGATGTTAATCTTGAACGCTTCACATACATACAGGTGAAGCCAAAATCTATTATGCAGAAACCAAAAACAACAACTAAGAAGATATATCCTGAAGAGAAGGATACTTGGAAGCGAGGATGGCGCAAAGAGAGAAGCAGACATCCTGCTTGTTCCGTTATTCAGATAAAAAGCTCCGAACTGATACTGTAACTTTGTCTTCGACCTCCTTACACTACTACGGGACTCGCGTTATCTGCTCGTTTGCTAACAACAGGTTTAGTAATTTTTCTCAAGGAATGCCCAATATCTTTAATATAAGTGTAAAATTATTCATGAATTTGTTTTAATGAGTACAATCATTCCCATTATGTTAAATTTGACCGAAGTTAATTAATGTTGATCATTAAAAAGAAGAAGCAAATATAAGATATAAAAATATGCATAAACTTTTTCTCTAAGAGCTTCTGGTATCTTCAAGTTAATAATGATGTATGATACCTGTTAATTTTGTAAAAGAGACCATATAGTTAAGCTAATGGAAAGATGTCACATCTTAATTAAAAACCTCAAGATTTAAGTTCATGAGTCATATTCTTTTATTATATATTAATTATTAAATTAAATTTTATTTGACATAATACTTCTCACGCCACCCAAGAATGGAAGGAGAAGAGAAATGGGCAAGAACAGTGGTAAGATAACATGTATTAATCTAAACATTAAGACTTGAGTTTATGATTTTTTTTCTTTATTATATAATAATTATTAAGTTTAACTTTATTCAATACAAAATTTTCTACATCTCCTTTGATCTACTTACATTTGAACAGCCTAATGCTCTTTTCTCTTATTTGGGTCGAAATACATACTTTATTAAAAAGAAACACAGGTTTTGGATGCCTCGTGTTTCTTTAAAATATTCGATCACTGTGCATTACAATATTCATGCAATAATCTGCCCCTTCCGAGTAGTATATATTATGCATCACTAAAATATATCAGTTGGGGGCCGTTGACAAAAGGGAATCAATGCATTTGTACAAACCCACGACTCACTTAATTATAAACTCACGGTGTATTTCAGAGTAATCAGGGACAATTCCCAAATGCCTGTCACGTCTCTTTGATAACGTGTTTCTGAATTGGGATTTTTGAACTTTTACAAGCAAACAGTACTATATCAAAACATAATACTCCTCCATTTTTATATATAAAAGAATTATATCACATAATTTTAAAAAATTAATTAATATGATAATGATATTTAAAAGTAAAAAAATGAACTAAAATATCATATCATACATTAATTATTTTTCAATATAAATTTTTAAAAATAATTTAAAAATGTGTAATAAATGTTTAAGTGATACTATAATTTTTATTTAAAGAATAATAAGAATTGATAAAAAAATTACAACTTTTTAATAAAAATAAAATAATTTTTTTAAAATTTATTGATATAAAATTTTTTGAGGACTTCAATAAAATTGTAATATTTTAAAAAATATATTATTATTTATATAATTTAAAAATTTTATTTTTTTATTTATTTTTTTGTTAAACAATCTGGTCTCCGCGTTTTTCTGTCGTGGCACCGAAAAAAATCGAAGACAATGGAAAAAAGATATCCTGCTCGGTGGATTACTCCCCAGTGATTGGACTTCGACGCATCATGGAGAAATCGCATTGGAATGAATGATTGCCCCCATGGCCCACGCCAATTCCTCCACTATTTTGTTGCCTATTCAGGAGCCGGCAATTCAAGCGAAGTTTGGTGGGCCCATTTAAATTCGCCAAAAACATTTAGGTTATATTTACTTACTAGAATAGAAGTAAATAAAATAAATAAATAAAAATAAAAATAAAAATAAAATGATTAAAGAGAATAGGTGAGTATATTTATAAGGAGAGATAATTTAATTTATGGAGTAAAAAAACATGATTTATAAAATTTTCAGAGGATGTGATGATTTCTACATTTATAATATATATTAATAAATTTATCATATGTATTATAGGGAGAAGGATAATTTAATTTATTTTTATCTTAATTTTTTAATTTATTTTATTTTATTTTAGTAAACAAACATGACTTTAGGATTGGGCATGACAAAATAATGATTTTTTATGTTCATAAAAAAATTCAGGTCAAGCCTAATTAAATCTTGATCTGAATACCTAAAAAAATATAAAAAAATAAATATTAATTAATTCTTTAAGTTTTAGATTATTTTATACTCAAACATCATATATTTTTTAAAAAAATTAAAATATTTATATTGTCATATTTTTATCACTTTTAATGTATAAAATATCTTAAAATAATATTTAAAATATATTTTAATATTATTTTTTAAATTTTAAGACCCACATATTTTTTTAAAATTTTTTTGAGTCATATGCATCATTTATTTAAGTATCCAAAAGATATATTATATATTTTTTATAAAATAAAATAATTAATTTTAAAGTAAAAAGTTTAATTTAAAAATTTTTAAAAATAAAATTTAGATATTTGGGTCATCCGAATGAATTTGGGATTGGATTTGGCCATTTAAATTTTTCAGGAAGTTATATTTTGGTTGAGCTTATTCACCTTTCCTGAATTCTTGACTCTGCCTATTTTCTTCATAAGCAATTCCCACCAAAATATTTTGTCTAAGATAAGAATTTTAGAAGAATAATATTCAAGACTCTCTTAAGAAAATTTATCGTAATGAGATCCTATTAGTTTTATATTGAATATTGTCATATAAAAACACGTGCGTGTTGTTGTTAAAAGTTAAATCTTAAAAATTTAATAAGTTAATGTTCAACTTTTAACAATAGTATGTAAATGATTTTACAAGACAATATTCAAAATAAAATTGTTGGATCTTTATTGTTATAAATTCTCTTGAAATGGCCTTAAATATTATTCTCCCTTAGATATTTGCCTTTGCATGCATACATACTCCTTTCATATTTAATTGAATTACACTTTTGATGAGTTTGTTAAATTTTTTTTAAAATTACACACTCTTTTCATGTTTATTTTTTTTATAAAATATCTCAGTTAAAATTTTTTATTAATCACACAACTTAATAAATGATATTTTTAAAAAATTATTAATTGCATCCTAAAAAATTCAAAAATATCTTATATTTTTAATGTGATACATTAAAATAAATAGTGGTAGAAAAAAAATCCAAAGATGAAAACGTGAAGATTGAGGAGGTGGGAGTCTGGGGAATGCCATCTAGGAGGAGTGCTATCGATGAGAACAGTTTGATTTTAATTTAACCACCACCTTCCTTGCAGCTCCAACTATGGTGCGGTTTGGATTCACTTTCGGTGCTCAACAGCTCGCTATAAATTTTTATGTGTAAGGTTGAGATTTAAAATTTTTATTTTTTATTTTTATTTTATATTTATTAAAGTAGAAATATTATTAAAAAATTACTGTTGATTCTGTACTGCCTCCATTGCATTTAAATAATCAATTTATAAAAATTATAATATTAAATTAAATTATTTAAATTAAATTAATACTGTCTAGATTCATAATGAATATATTTATTAAAAAATATATAAATTTTTCTTTTTATAAAATTAAAATTAAAATTAAAATTAGAAAAATCTGAATGGATGGCCCAGATTTATTTTGGATGATGAACGCACTGGATGGCTCGGATTTATTTTGGGTGATGAGCGCGAGGACGAACCCGTGGGGTTTCTTCATCATCATCTTCATCAGCGCGGCATTGAACTCAGCGCTATTATCTGTGATCTGACAAAACTTTAAATACAAACCACACAACTTTTCTCCCGCAAGCTGTCTCAAAGCGATCCACCGCGAACGACACAGAGCACACACATCTCGCTCTCGACTTTTTCTAATTTTATTTATAAATTATTTTTAATATATTTAATGGAAGGCTAAAATAGGATATTTATAATAAAAATTTAATAATATAACTTATACACAGAATAAAAAAATGTTCTCTCAATCACGTAAATAAAACAAAGGGATTATATTGAAATTTAAACGGCGATGGATGGATGGATGGGAGCCATGCTTGTCGATCCAATGGTTTTAAACAAAAGCTTCAAATGGTGCCCGACGACAAGATTAATGATTGTTCTCTCTCTTCTCTTGTAATTACAAATTGAAGAAATTTTTTTTTTTTGAATCATTGATATTTATCCACACATCATCCCCCCCCTTCTCGGGCAACACACATCATTCCATCTTCTGTCGTGATTCTTAGTTAGCCTTGGTCTGGCTTGGTCTAGCCGTAAAGAGACCCTCTTCACTTTTTTTCTCTTTACTTTTCTCCACTACCCTCATTTCCACCATTCATTAATTTTATTATTTAAAAAATTTATTTAATAAAATAATTTGAATGATAGGATGAAAAAAGTAAGAAAAAAAAAAATGAAGAGAACTCTTTCTCAATCCAGCCGAGAGTTATCTCGGGGCTAGGCAGGCTAGGTGTTCTCAATCATCATATATATAATTAAAAAAATATTGACTTGCAAATACGTACATTAAAGAGGCAGCAATTCCCATTGTACACCCACATGGGCTTATAAATAGCAAATACATAGGTACACGCATCGCTGAAAAGAGAAGGCGATGGCAAAGTCAATTTGTACTTGGCACACCAATTAACTTGTTCAGGCAGGGCAGTTTAATTAATAAGAAGCAAGAAATGAAAGCATAAGGTCTAGATGAGGTTGGTGACATAAGCATCAATGTCTTTGGAGACTCGAATAGCAACTTCCATCAGCGAGGTAGGGTCTACAGTGTCTGCGGTTGGCTTCTCATGTTCAGAGGTCCAATGCAAAACGCTTCCCACCGACAGTATATTTGGAGTCAGTTTCAGATAAATCACGAAGCTGTTGTATACATCCAACAGATCTCCCTCTATCACTTTGAACGTCATCGATACGTCTGTTAAGTTTATACTCTCCACCACCACTTTAGACACTTGTGCCATCCCATCTGTGCGTATGTTTAGCCATTAAGGTGCAAGAAAAGTCTTAAGATCAAGATTTCATATGAAGATTAACTGCATGCAGGTTTCAGCTTCATGGTTGAGAATAGCGTTAAGATTCAAAAGAAATCATCGAGTGAAGCTGTAACTTTAGAAGTATATATAGAGAGTGAAGTTGAAGTTTGTTGGCTTTACGTACCCAGGAGGGAATAATGAGCGAGGAAGACGAAGCCTGCAGTGCCCAATTGACCTTGAACAATTTCAATGCTTTGTATGAAGTCTGGGGACACGGTGACGAGCTCATATATTCTGGTCGAGAATATTTCTAGAAACTTCGCAGCTGAAGTATTGAGGTCAAGATCAGCCTCCAGACTACCAACCACAGACATCTCTCCCTCTCCGAACTTAGATTGCAACTTGCAAGGAAAACAACCTGTATTATGGGTTTTGAGCTGTAGGACGAATATGGGATGGATGGGGAAGAATTGTGTTATTCAAAGCCCCTTAAATAGGGAATTTGGAATGCATTTTTGGTCGACCCTCAGAGAATGACATTTCATATATCTTTTATTTACGGTATTCGTAATCTTTATTTTTATGTAAAATATTTGTGTAATATATATATATATATATATATGACATGTTAGGAAAACTTGTTTGATAGATCACAGCTATTAAATTATATTTCTTAAAATTTTAAGAAAAAAACTAGATTTTGGCGATGACTTTATTTGCACTATCCGAAAAATGAAAATTGTTTCTGACAGAACTGTCCCGACAATTTGGATACCACAAATTTAGCTAAAGTACATAGATAGTAAAAACATGAAAGGGAGTTCTAGATGGCACCTTATGATCCAATCTCTTGATACAAAAAGTCGAAAGATCAAACCCCCATGTGATTGAGGGGTACCAAATTAAATCTTGTCTCTGTGTGTGTGGGGAGATTCTTGCGTGGTATAAGAGCTCCGGGGCACTTGTGAAATGCATGCGTGGGGGATCTGATCCTCTTTCTTATGAAGAAGGGTTAGATAGGATAATATTAAAGAAGGTAAAAATATAAGGTGATGACTTTGTTAATTGATAATTTGTAAATTGACTTATACATCATAACTCATGAGATTATGCAGATCCTATTTTACTATTAAAGTGAGTACTATGTTAGTTGATATTAATTTGTAAATGTTTGTGTTAGCACAGTCTGATAAAGTCCAATTCACTAAAAACTTATGAAAAAACACAAAAAACAAAAACAAAGTGGCCCATTTTTTTATGAGAAGGTTGGTAAAAATAAGCAATTTAATTCGACTTAACCTCAACATAATAATTGGATTAAGAGGAATCATATTCTCAAAAACCATACTAATACTCCGTTTATGGAACCAAAGCAAAGTATGAAATTAAATTAAAATAAATTTGAAAAATCATTCAGAATATAGAGTCACGCATAATTCTTTGAATTATTTGATTGTTCTTCCTAAAGAGCACAATACCAAAGATACACGCATCGTCGATATGAGGAGCTGACGAAGTAAAATTTTATTGGACACACAAACTTGATCAGGCAGGGCAAAGCTGACAATAAGCAAGAAAGCAACGTCAAATAATTAATGAATGGCTAGATGAGGTTGCCAACATAAGCGTCGACGTCTTTGGACAATTGAATAACAGCTTCCAGCAAGGAGGTTGGGTCTGGAGTGTCTGTGCTCGGCTTCTCATATTCCAAGGTCAAATGCAAAACGCTTCCCGACAAAACATTCGCAGTCACTTTCAAAACAAACTTGAAGCTATTGTATATCTCCAACAGATCTCCCTCCATCACTTTGAATGTGATTGATAGCTCTGTTATGTTTATACTTTCCACCACCTCCTTAACCACCTGGGCTTTCCCATCTGTGTATAAAAACTAAAGTGTTAATTACGCTGAAGTTAAACTCAAGTTTTCATATTAATTAAGCATAACTGGTTTCAACTCTGTGGACGAAAATTGTGTTAAGATTGAAAAGAATTCTTCAGTCAAGTTATTGAAGTTGCCTCGACTTACCCAGGGTATAGTGAGCGAGGAAGACGAAGCCTACAGTGCCCCATTCACCTTCAACAATTTCAAGGCTTTGTACAGTGTCTGGTGACACAGTGACAAGCTCGTATATTCTGGTCGAGAATATTTCAAGAAACTTCAAAGCTGAAGTCTTGAGTTCAACATCAGCCTCCAGGCTACTCGCCACAGACATCTCTAGCTCTCTCTTTCTAGTTAGATTGCTCAGAAAATAAAACTTGTAATGTGAGAAGACAAATGGTTGGGGATATCGGTGTTACTCCATGTCCCTTAAATAGGAATTTTGAATATTGCGGGGTTAGTTGAAGATTATCTACCCACTACCCCCCGCCGATCAATGGGTAAGTTGTTTTATGTATCTTAATAACCAGTGATCTTAAATTCAAACTTTAAAAATATATAGTAGAATTAAAATTTAAAATTCTATGGTAAAGCCCGTCAAGTCACCTACAATATTTTAATTGAAATAAAAAAAAAACCTTAGCATTCAGTAATTTTAATTTGTTTAAAATTTAAATAAATTTTTAACTTTATTCATATTAAATACATTTTTATTAAAAAAAACTTGTTACTTTCCTACACTAGCATTGAATAAGGGTATTTGGCCCAAAAAAAGAAGAATAGGATAAAAAGAAAAAAATTTAATAGATAATGAATATACATAGTGTCTCTTATAAAAAGGATCCTAAAACTCCTCCTCCAAGCAAACAATATAGGAGGGAGCAGTTATTCATCGATAATTTTCAATGTTCATGATTACACAGCTTACTACAAGTTCCAACTAATTAATAGTATGATCCGAGAGAAACTAATTCAGTGATGAAACTATGGGTATAGACCCTCCGAATTTGGACATCACAACTTCATCTGTATAAGAAACTAATTAGGAATAGGAAGTTTTTAGAAATTACAAGAAAAGGAACACATTAAGTGCAACTTCTCTGTATCTCAAACAGATTATAAGTTCAGTGGATTCGTTCTCATTACCATATATACAACTACTCCGCTTATATATGAACTAAAGCAAAATATGAAAATAAATTATAATAGATATAAAAAAATATAGAGTGATATGTTTAATTATGAAGTTATGAAATTATTTAATTTATGATTAATGTTCATTTTTATCTTTAAATTTTTTTAAAAAGTACTGGACACCTAGGGACAATTATACCCATGAACTAATTTTTTAAGAAGCAAAAATCACATTCTGTAAGTCGTTAAGTATCCTGTTTTTTGGTGATGCGTTATGCCCTGGGGCCCATAACAATCTGACTTGGCTCATTCAACAGTTGTCCGCAATCTCCCATTCACGTCCAGTCTTCACTTCTTCCTTCACTTTACTCGGTTGCGATTCACTCTGTTTGAACACTCAGGTCTTCATTGCCATTCGAACTATCAAGTCGTCAGTTCTTCTCTCAATTCAGATTCGTCACTATCTCTGTTTTCAGCTCCAATACAATCTTATTTTCACCAGCCTTTGTTTCAAGCTTTGAATCTAGTAAAGACCTCACCTTAAATTTTTGTCTTCTAGTAAAGACACACCACCTTTAGTTGTTCTTTCGAGGTTCCTTTTGTTTTTCAACCCAGGTTCACTGTACTTATCTTGCAAAAACATGGGACCAGTCATGATGAAATTTATAAATAATTAGTTAATTACAACGTTGGTTCCGGAAAAAGTAGAAAACCTTACTTTTCGAGCATATATTTTGGTTTCACTTTGCGCCTTGCGTAATGAATGATTTAGGAACTTTCAGTGCACCAAAGAGACGATGCAGTGATGCTAAAAAACCCAGAAATTGATGGCTCCCATGACCCCAAGTCTTACTTTCTCCAAAATGACCTACCCGAGTATCTCAATTTAACTTCTGGCAATGAAATTCACCGTGATCACTCTCTCTCTCTCTCTCTCTCTCTCTCTCTCTCTCTCGAGAGTATCCTTGGACACGACATGGTTTCATTGCGATTAAGATTCGCAAATGCTGTCTTTTCAGAAGAAGGCGGCAGGGGGGACAATTTTGTAGATTCCATACCTGGAAGCTTCTTTTTCGATCTTAGAAGTGTATGAAATGGGATCTTGGAACTCAGCCAAGCTAGGGGTACTCTCAAGCGAGAGGAAGAGATTTTAGCCATGAAAATACTTCTGCATTTGGTTCTGATGCGAGAGCTGTCGAACCTACCATTGTTATTACTACGTGAGCTAGCGCATTGAATTGGAACGATCTCACCCCAGTTTACCACTTGAGATGTTGTCAAATCTGTAAGCAACACATCATATATCAGAGACAACGCATTAGGGCCTAAGAGCAATAGAATACAAAAAAGAAATTATGAAAGGCGTTGCCTTGTTCGGCGAAGCAGAATTTGGTGGTCTTGTAGGGGGAGGTGGAGCTGGCACTAAGTGTGCTTGGGGTCGAAAGTGAGCTCGTCATAGTTTCTTGTATTCCTGCCACGTCGAGGGTCAAAAGGGGGTCGTGCTCGACGCCCCCCCCCCTCTCTCTCTCTCTGTTTTTTTGGGGGTTGAGGGCGGGGGGGGAGTGGGGGAGTAAAAATGAACTTTAATGATTTAATTTGTTGGATCCTGGCACCTAGAACTTAAATTTGAGGGAAAAATATTTTAGAAAATATAAAATCAATGGTTCCCATAATTTCATAATATTTTGTTTTTAATTTTTATAATTTTTTTTAGTGTTTTAGTTTTTATAATTTTAATAAGATTGGATGATGTCTGGTATTTAGATTTGTGAATACTATATTTTATCTGAGCTTTCAAATGTAAATTAAAAATTAATAAAAATATAATAAATAAAATAAATAAAATTAAAAGAATAAAAAGGGCTTTTGTAATTTAAAAAATAATAATATTCCTTTGTTATTGAACTCAAATCCCCTCAATTATATTCCCATTAAATTTGACTTAATTAAACGAAAATCAAAAAATTTGACAAGTCAAATTAATCAAATTCTAATTTGAAATAATTACGTCTTGATTGTAATTTGTTTTAATTAAGGATAAAATATAAAAATATGAAATAATTAAGGCAAAAGTCAAATGAAAATTATCAATAATTTGATTTGGTATGGTTATGATTGATTCTATCATTAAGAAGAAAAATCCTAATTAGTGCCTATAAAAGGGGGAGGGAGAGGCCCAAAGAGAGGAGTACTTTTTAGATGGAGGGGGTAGAAAATTGAAGGGACGAAAAAACAAGAAGAGAAGAGTTGTTGAAGTGCTACAAAGGTGGGTGATGAAATAGTAACCTCAAATCATCATGGTTAAGTTTGCTGCGTGCAATGGCGGTCCTTATATGCTAGACTTGAGTATTGACACTTTTAATCGATTCTTTCGTTGAATTGCTTGGAGAAGTTTTCTGGTTGCTCTATTACATTGTCTAATGGCTTGTTTATGATTTCTTTTTATTGATCATTTGTTGAGGGGGGAATAGTTAAGATATATAATTTGGTGTATGGATCTGAAACGTGTGTGATATATACATGAATGGGATTCAAAGAAGAGACATTCCACTAACATATTTCAGTAAAAAACGGATCGACTAACGTACATAAGCTGCAATATAATAAAATATCAAACTGAGATTTGAAAGGTGTGAGTTGCCTCAATTTATATATGTATGGAGTTTTCATTTTCCTTCCCCTTCAAAATTATCAAAGACTAGAATTGAGAACCATTGAGCCATCTATGAATTTACAGAGCAGGAATTGAACTTGCGTAAAAAGTCAATTGTACAAGCATAAGCACATAAGCGCTTGCTCATGCCAAGCGCGATAACCCAATTTTCCAAAACAGCAGCATATAATAAAGAGACACGCATCGCATATGTGCCGCAGCTGACAAAGTCAACTTTTATTTGACACACCAACCTTAATTATTACATACGTAGGGCAGCTAATTACATGCTTTAAGGAAAGCAAATTATTAATTAATGTCTACATGAGGCTGCTAACGTAAGCATCAACGTCTTTTGATACCTGAATAACCTCCTCCATCAGGGAGGTCGGATCAGGAGTTTCATCTCTCGGCTTCTCATACTCCAAAGTCCAGTGCACAACGCTTCCCGTGAGTATATTTGGAGTCAGTTTCAGAATAAACCTGAAGCTATTGTACACATCCAACAGATCTCCCTCCATCACTTTGAATGTGATGGATAGGTCTGTTATGTTTATGGTTTCCACCACCTCCTTAGCCACCTGTGCTATTCCATCTGTGTGCGCCAACCACATAAGATCATGTGTAATATAGTTAGTCAAACCTCTTTGAATATTAAGCATGGCCGGTTTCTGCTGTATATGGGCAAGATTAATATATATAGTATTAATATTGAGACCTTATTAAAAGAAATCACAAGCGAAGCAGTAATTTGATAAGTAGCATAGCTGGAGAGTGATGTTGTTGCCTTACCTACTGTGTAATTTATGACAAAGGAGAAGCCTGCAGTGCCCCAGACACCGCCAACAATTTCAAGACTTTGAATGATGTCAGGGGAGATAGTGGCGAGCTCATAGGTTTTGGTGGAAAATATCTCCAGAAACTTCAAAGCTGAGGTTTGGAGTTCAAGATCAGTCTCCAGCGTACTCACCATATCTGGATCTCACTGCAATTAGATCGCAGAGAAAACAATACTTGCAGTGTAAAAAGATCACAAAATGCTCTTGCCAAATATTGGAGGCCTACAATGGCCCTTAAATATAAAAAAAATAAATTGTGAAGCTTGTTGGGAGGATATGTTTTTGTACAGGTCGGTTGATGATTATAAAAATATTTCAAGCAATAGGACTTGATAATAATTAATTTTATAGACTTAATATATTTTTATCCTATTAAATTAATGCAAGTGTTAGAATTTAATGTATTAATAATATTAATAACAAAAATTAGTTACAGAATAAATAATATATAAAATATTAATATATCTTGGTTTGATTGAAAATAATTAATTTAAATATATAAAATTAAGTATATAAATTTTTTTCATATTAAATTCCTTCCTCTACTAGAGCTTTTGTTACTTTCTTAATAACAATTAAAGTATAAGTGAACGTGAAAGACAGCAGTATCCATGACTTGACTTTTGAGTCATTAAGATATATGGCAACTTTTCACTATTTTTTATTTAATCAATTTCTTCGCTCATTTCGAGTTTGTCGTTGCCCCGTTCACGTCATCTCCATTTCAGAGCCCTAAGCATTAATCCTCCATAAATAATATCTCTACATTTTATTACCATCATAAAAAATTGTCAGTTAATTAAGAGTTTAATCCTACCCATATAATTGAACAAAATAATTTTCCTGTTACATAATTTTTGGAAGTTCTAGAACATGGACGGATATTAGGAGGGCCATTACTTTAAAAAATATGTTTATTTTTATTTGTAACACATGTGAAAATTAATTTTGGCCGCCGCTTTCTTGTAATCTTTACAATTTTTGGCCCCACATATCAATTTCTACATTCGTCCTGCTAGAGGTTAGATAATTTTTGCAAATTATTGGGTGACATATATGTTTCCACTGGGTTATTTAAATCATTTCAAAAAACTTAATCTTTTAATTTTTTAATTTTAAACTTACTTATAACTCAATTTTTTAACTATGACTCATTGCGATTTAATCCTTTCCTAAAATATGACTCGCTATGATTTAATCCTTCAACTTTTCACTCACTTATAACTTGATCCTTATTTTTAATTTTTTTTTAAAAATTATCTTTATCAAATAAGAAGGATAAAAGAAATACTTACATCTTGCTCTAAAAAACCCCCTTGCTTTTTGATGTGAGATTTAATCTAATATGAAAAAAAACACTAATAAAAGTTGAGGAATTAAACTATAAATGAGTTAAAAATTGATGGACTAAATTGCAGCAAATCATATTTAAAGGATTGAGTTATAAATAAATTAAAAGTTAAAAGATTAAAAGATTAATTTTTTTTTTTGCTTTTATTGGTGGCCATCAGGCACTGCCAATTTTATATTAATAATGCATGATAAATGTTAAATATTAGGATTTACTCACCCTTGAAATATCAGCATTACTAATTTTGAAATTTTACCACGTTCAATATTTGAAGTTCGCAAGCATGTCCCTGAAGGAAGGGGAGCTCAATATTTGAAGTTATTATTTTAATTGATTTATTTTTTTAGGTGTATCAAATATTAAATTTCAAACAATTATTATCTGCGAAAAAAGACTTTTTATTTGGAAGAATTAATGACCTAGTTGAGTTGTCAATAAATTTTATAGTAGTTAATTATTTATATGAAATTTTAATGCAATTTTTCCTTTTCACTTCTTGACTAACCCAGAATGCGGTTTCGCGTGCGATGAAGTTCCATCATTGATGTCTCCGGTTTTAAAAAATATTGATGTTGGCCTGATGTTCTAGTTATCATTATGAAATGATTAGTCAATAATTATTAAATTTATTTTTCTATTTAAAAAACTAATAATTGAGATTACTATATGCAATAATTTAACATGTACAAAAATCTGGCATTCAAAAAACTGATTATTTAAGTGAGGTTGTTATTTTAGTGCTATTCACCACTAATGGACGTGATATTTCCTGTTAGAAGACGAAGGTTTTGTTAATTAAAAATAAGCAATATGTGGGTTAGTGGATGTGCGTTGTTTGACCCCGCCTCAGTGAGTCAGTGTGCCTTATCCACATATGTTTTTTTTTTTTTTTTTAATTGGTTGGTGGTTTGAATTTCTTTGTCAAACTTAACGTTACGCGAATGCAATGCATCACGTTGATAATAATTTATCATCATAATCTTAGATATTGATATTTTTACTTTTTTTTTGTTTATAAAATTTTTGATAATATATATTTAATCTACATGTAAAATAATGATTGCGTGGTTAGTTAGTGAAATCTATTATGATGGCGATTTTGGGAGATTTTGCCGACATTGTGGGACTTTAAAATACGCGAAATTCGTATAAAATTAATATAAGTACTGTATTGAAAACGAAAGATGTCACCAAGATATCAACTAAATCCACAATCATTCACAAAGTGGCAAATTAAAGAATTGTGAAGAGACATATTTGTCTGAAAAACGACCTTACAAAGAAACAAAAGCATAAACAAAAATAAAAAACAAATACCTTCAAACACGCTCAAGGAATTGCTAGAGCAGGGGACTGCTGTTCATCAGGCTTGTAGAACAGGGGAGAAGGAAGATTAAATATGATTTTAAAAAGGTTACTATTTACAGAAATGCCTCTGTTGATTTTGAAATATATCAATAAAAAGACCTTGGTCCTTTTATTTAATTTAAAAAATTAATTTACAAAATGCCTATCTTCATGTACAAGTTGGACATTAAGTTGGATATCTTAAGATGCTTAATTGTAAATGTTTTCAATTGAACATTTTGTTCATGTTTACGTTTTATTATTTATGAATGCTAGAAGTCAACTAGGAAATGTAGGAAGAATGAATATGATTAAAAAAATTAGTTAAAGACGATTCCAAAGTATTAATTATCAGGATTTTCAACTTAATTTCCAAAATTTCCAATTTAATATTTTAGGATTTCCAACTTACGCTTGAATATAGGTATTTTCAAGAAATCCCTTAAACAATATTTTATAATTTTCAGATCTTAAATTATGATCATCCTCATTATTCAGTGCATGGTGTGATACCTGACTATCCGGGTGACACCCATGTGAAGAAAAGAAGAGAATCATGTGATGACTTTTTTGGGCCTCAGACGTAGTGGGCCTAAAGACCATCATTTTTTTTCCTTTCCATCCCATTAAGTATTGGGCTTCATATACCCAAAACTATTTTAAACATGATTGAAAGTTAAAATCAGCATTGATCTTAATAAGTCATCGAAACTTAACTCATCTAAAAATTTGCCAGTATTGTTAATATTGTGGCAATTATTTGTTCAGTAGCTGCTATAATTGTGTATGATATAACGTATAAAAGAGTCATGGGAAATTACACTCAGGTCACAAAAAGACCAATTTAATTATAGCTATGTTTTAAACCATTCTCTTTAGTTGCAAATTGTAGAGTAACTGTAAATTAGACTCTACCAAGTTGTAATTAAGAGAGTCTTTTATATTAATTGTAGATAATGTCTTGATGCCGAACAATTTGAGACATATCAGGCATTTTTCCTGGAATAATTTCTCTCTCTTTTTTTTCAAATATGTATTTTTTCTCACATCACAAAATGAATAATGAAAAAAATAACAAAATCACATGACTTTATATATATATAGTGGTATATAATTCTTTGAATAACTTGACTGTTCATCCAATATTAGATCTTGAATTCTTGATAACTAGAAATTAAAATAGTGCGGAAAATGCTATATATGTGTGATGGGATTCAAAGTAGACATGTGCACAAATACTACGTTGCCTTGGCATAAAACAGATCAAACGTAGGCATTGCTGCAATTCAGATTACACTGTACAGACAAGTAAGATCGAGACCACTAAGCCATCTATAAATTTATGGAGCAGGAATGATAATTAATTACTTGCACTAAAATAATATTGTATAAACAACTACGTACACTATATGAGTCAGTAATTTAGGCAAGTCTTGCTTATTTAAGTTGGCTTAAAATACTTGAATATATAAAAAAGTTTTTATAAACAAGCTCAACCTTTAACACCTACATGCTAGACATTGTCTTGATAACCCCATTTTCAAAACATATAGCAGAAGGAGAATATATAAAGATACATGCATATAGAAGCTGACAAAGCGAACTTTATATAATTTAATTTGACACACACTTTATTGCGTACATGCATGAAAGTAATTAATTAATGTCTAGATGAGGTTGCCAACGTAAGCATACATCAACGTCCTTTGATACTTGAATAACCTCATCCATCAACGAGGTTGGGTCTGCAGTGCCTTGGCTTGGCTTGTCATATTGAAAAGTCCAGCGCAGAGAGCACTTCCCGACAGTATATTTGGAGTCAGTTTCATACTAAACTTGAAGCTATATGTTTTGCACCTCCAAAATGTCTCTCTTTAACTTTAAATGTTATTGATAGGTCTATCAGGGAACATTTCTCATATTTCTCTTGTGCCCGGCCGTTTCAAAAGTTACTAGCTGTCAACAATTTGAAGGCTTTGAATGATGTCAGGAGAGGCAGTGGCAATCTCATATGTTTTGGCGGCAAATATGTCCAGAAACTTCAAAGCTGAAATTTGGAGTTCTAGTTCAGACTCCAGAGTACTTACATCCCTCATTTGAATTAGATTGCAGCGAAAACCAAGCTTTAACGGTGTTTAAGTATGATGACTAGACTATAACTAATAATGATTAAAATACGAGATAATATAACGAAATTAGGCCCCGAAAGAGAAAAAAAGAAATTAGAGGATTGAATAGCATCATTGACAGTGGCCTCCTCCTTTCTCCCATCCTATCCTATATATTCTTCTTCACGATTTGCTACGCTTCACTCGTAACCCTCATTAATTAAACCCTTATGCATGCTCTGGTTCTTGCCAAATCCCAAAATTTATACGAAACAAGATATATAGAGATCTTACATCGACTAGTTATGAAGAGGGTTCGGACCAGTACGAATTAATCTCTTGTCCTCCTCGTAGATGGAAGTTTGAGCTTTTGTTGAAGACGATGATCCATGAAACAATGCCCTTCTGGTTCTGAAAGTACTTGCACTTTCTGTGCGTAATAACGTGGTTGGCGACGGAGGCTCCATGAAATAGCTGCTTCTGCTTTCACCGTGAATTGTGAGCAGAAAAAGGCAGAAAACAGCAAAAGAACAGAAGAAAATGACAGCTCTGGCCCCTGAAGAAACCCTTCTTTCTGATCTCGCCTTTTCTATTTCTCTGACAGCTGTCATTGCGCAGTCTTCTGGGTAAACATAGGGAGAGCGAGAGGAGGGAAAGAAGAAGAGTCACATGATGACACAGACACGTGATTCCTGAACCTTCTTATGATTCTTAAATTTCTCTCCCCAGTGTCAAACGTTTGGACTTTGCACCGATATATTTGCGTCTCCCAGATGCATTCACGCTCATTGGCTTTGGCATCTGAGTTTTTGGTTTTGTTTATACTGTGAGGACGATGATGTTGGACTGTCAAGTATTAATAGCCGCTGTCTACGCACAGTATTCTGATTCCGAGGGCATTGCAGTTGGTAGAAAAACTCAATATCGATCGTACTCTTTTATAATTAATTAAATAATCTCTTTCTCTCTTGAACAACCCTTCGTCTTTTTCCCAAATTGAATTATGTTTAACAACAAAGAATTGTTCTCAATTACTGACTGGGCCCTAGAAACAGTCACAAAGGAACCATGTGATTGAGTGTGGCCATCTCACATTGCGAAGATTCTGTTCCCTTGTCAACCCTATCGAGTTTTGAAAAGAATCATTGGGACTTGACATCTTTCCATGATCTTCTAGTGCCCCGTTTCGTTAAATAATTATCAGGCTTCATTTGAATTTAAGAAGGCATTGATAATCATTCTTATGCATAGTACATATCTAAAATTTACGCCAAGTAAAAATGTAAAATCAACTTGCAGCATGACATTAATAAGGCTTTTATTTCCCTTGTTATAAAAAACGTATAAAATGAACGTTAAAACCAAACTTTGTTTTTGAACCAATTTTTTTTTTTTAAATACAGCCACTTTTTTAAATTTTGATGTAGGAAAAATAGCATTCAAGGACCATTGTGTATAATTTATATCACATAAGGACCAAAAGATTTCATATTTGCTCTGCAATCCTCTAGTCCTTCTTACATATTAATTTTATAAGCGAAAAGATGAAAATTTCCCCCAGAATGAAAGAGAAACTTCTCCTCAGTTGAAAGAAACCTCAGATTCAAACCTGTGTTCTTCTCTCTCAACCAGCTCTGCAAGTGAAGTAGAACAACTTGTAAATGAAAAAATCTGGAATCTTTCATTGTTGTCTCCCTAAATGTTCTCATGTAGCATATTATTCTTAGTCATGGGTAATTTTTTTTGGCATGAATACTACATGACGTGGAGGTTGCGAGCAAAGCGAGTTTAGTGCATCGGAATGTCGAAACTGTATGTAGAGCGAGTTGAGAGCATCCGAATGTCCGAACTCTATCTCCCACATTGAGGTAATTAATGCAACTATCTTTCCGACCTTATCTCCCATGTTCTTTGTAATGCTTTCAGTGACATTACCATACGATCCTCCACTCACTCTACTAATTCGCATAAAAATTAAATATCTAAAAAGTTTGGGATCCTAGATAAAACATTTTTAAAATTAATTCATAAATTACTTGAACTACAAAAACCCTACACAACAGAAGCAATGTGCAAAAGTGCATCAAAGATCAAGAAACATGTGCATTTTAATCAAATTAAGTCAAAATAAAGGCCGTGTATTGCGGCTCATGCCACATGCATCCTAACATGTAGCATAGAGATCTCAATGTCACTCTCTATGCTGTGCACCATAGCATGTTGCTCTTCATTGTCACATGTGCCACGGCGCACATATTAGAATTTGCTGTCAAATTTTAAATTTTGATATGAACTTTAAATGTGCGCATTTTTCGCATTTGATGTCCATTAGGGTGATTCAAGTGTCCACATGAAACTTGTTTCAAAATCTAATCAATGACACTAATTTTGTTTAAGTCTGATATTTCGTTTGAAAATTAAACATCTAAGTGCATTTTTACCATTTTAAGTCAAAATTTGCTGCTTGAGCATCACTAATTAAAACTGCATGTCATTAGATGCTTTGAGGGCCTCAATCACATTCAAATGAATAATGTACACCTGATTGACCAATCACATAGACAATATAATACATATACATATAATTGGCTTGTAAACCGCACATATCACACATTTGGGCAAAATCACATTTCTTCTTCCCAATCTCATACAAGGTCATATTTTCTTTTATACACATCACAAATTCTTCATATCCATGCATATTCACTTTCTTCCACTAGGTCACTCTATCAATTCATCATTCACACATATACAAAGAGTTAGGGAACTAAAACCACCAAAACACAATATTTACATCTTGTGCACATGCACTTAATTTCCTATGGCAACTTATACACAAGTTCATAACTAATAATATACAAATTTATTACACCAATTCTTACAAAAAGGCTCAGTGAGAGGTGTAACATCCTAAGTTTTTTCATTAGTAATTATCTGTATTTTTAAGGATAATTTAGTCAATTTAGATAAATTATTATTTAGTGAGGTTTATAGAGACTAATATGATTTTTGGATCCTTGGACAGCCTTAGAAGAGGGTTAGGTTGAGATTTAATTGAGCCATAGCACAAAAGGGAGTTTAAAATTTCATGAGGCTTTCTGTGCCATGTGCCATGGCAGGCGAGTCAGTGCGCTGTGACGCACGTACAAAATTTACACTTATCAAACGCAAAAAATTGACCAAAAATAAAAGAAAGAAGAAGGAAAAATGAGAGAGCGATGGAAGAGATCTTTTGGTCTGTTAGGACACGATCCCTAAGCTACTTTGAGGGCATTTAGAGCTTGATTTACTATTGGGTAAGTTGTATATTCCCTCTTCTCCCTCTTTTATGTGAAAATTTGAACATTTAAGGCAATGGGGGCTTTGATTTTAGTTTTCTTGAGTTTAGACTGAATCCATTAGTTTATTTAAAATTTTGAAGAGTTAAATCAAGCTTTTAACCTTAAGTTAATAAGTTTTGTGATGACTGAGAATTTTTGATAAGGGTTTGGATGAGCCCTAAGTATAATTTAAGGATTTTGATACAATGTGGGACATTTTTTAACGAATTTAGTGTGTTAGAATGTTTAATAAGATGTTTAGAGTGTGTGAGAATGGTTGATATTGCTAGAAAAGGAATTTGAGTATTTTAAGCGCTTAGAACCTAGTGAATTCAGAGTTATCTGGAGTGATAATTAACGATTATCACTTATTGATGTAGATTGAGTATTTCTCAAGCCATATCATGCATATAGAACTTGTGGAGCTAACATTGAGCCACGGTAACCCTTTTTGTGTGACAAAAAGGTTGAGATAACTATATAGTTTATTGTGTTTATTAACTATTATAACTATGTAGAAGTAATCTTAAATGATAAAGTTATGGTTTTGAAGAGTTTTGTGTATAATTTAACATTGTAAATGATTTTAACATGAAAAAATATTTTGTAAATGGTTATTGTTTCTAATTGAAATATATATACTATGTATATAAATGTGATGTAAAAATGTGATGAAAAGTAGTAGACATTATGAAATAGCATGATCATAGGGGGTGAGAGTTCACCCAAGATATATGAAAATATGTGTGTGTGGAGATATGTGAGTGAAAAATCCATATGATCGGGCTGAAACCATGGGACATCCGGTGTAGCATTATATGAGACTGTTACTATAGGACATCTGGATAGTTTGATAACTCTCTAGTACCTGTTAGGGTGCAGCTAGGAATCAACGATGCCTTTATCACAAGTGTGTGAAGAGGAAAAAATCATAGTCTGTAGGTAGGTTAGATTACCTTTGGTCAAGTATTTCTACCACCGAAAGTGTGCTTGAGTCAATAAATAGTTGAACCAAAAGAGCTTATGGTTTTGTGTCGGGGAGTATTGGAGGTTTGGTGGTTAGATGATCATGCTAGTGTAAAATTATGTGTTTTATTAAGAAGAGATACATATATCTCATAATTTTTGGTATGCTTGTTAATATTATGGTTTTGATGCTTTTTCATAGTTATTGTGATAATAAACATTTGATGAGCTATATTAATTATTGAGATGTTTATCTCACCCTGTGGTTATATTTTACAGGCGAAGGCTCCGGTAGGGGCAAGGGGAAGGAAGGGCCATTTGAAGAGTAAAGTGCACCATTATATAATTCTTTCCTTTTCTCTTTTTACATAATATAATGAACATTGTCACTAAATATTGTCAACTTAGGAACATGACATTATTTATATATTACTTATACGAATTTATGATAAGTATATATCTTGGTCCAAGAATGGTGTTATGGATTAGGTATGTGCTTGGTCAAGTTGCTTACAAGTGATATATATATATATATATATTGCAAGTATTTTGAGTGTCAAAATGACTAATTGATTGATGTGTTAAATCCATTGTGTTTTTATCCAATAGGGTTTTAGTGGTCATTTTTAGCGTTATTACTTAATTGTGTGATATGAATGAATTACTATGTGGTGTGTGATCTATTTGACGTGGTCAAGATGTTTCTAAGGCTAATGGCATTGTGTATTGTGAGTTGGACACCATACTATATGTTTTGTTGTGAAAAAAAACCATTTTGGATTCGGGTGTTCATCTTTTAAATGGATGATTGTTTAAATATGAGATTGGTGTCATTAGTTTAAGGGCTTAAAAAGCTTTGTGTGGATATTTGAACCGCTCAAATCGGATGTCGGATGGAAAAACAGCGTGCTTCAAAAGTTTGAAGAAAAGTCATGACAGTAGGTACGCACCACAATGCAAGAGGCCCTCGAGGGATTCATCCCTTTGTGCCATCCGCCACGATGGGCGTGACTTGCGCCATGGCAGATAAATCAAATAAGGGCTAAATGACTTGTTTTAGTTCGTTTTGAAGAGAATTGATTTCTATACTTTTATATATGCTTTTAATCGATTTTTAACTGTAGTTTAAGCTTAAACTATATTTTAAAAAGGGTTTTCTTGGGATCTCAATATTTTAACTAATTATCTTTAAACCCTTGAGTTGTGGTAACTTCTTTTGAGGATTTTATTTAATCCATGTTATCACAATAATATGTGAGTGTTATCCTAGTAATGTCAAGGTGAACATTATAAGAGGTGTCAACTCAGCTTATATCTTTTTTCTT